AAATGATGGCTGAAAAAGCTCTAGCTGAGACCCCCCCCCCCCCACACACACACACACCTGAAGTAGGGACAGAAAATTCCAAGTGCATAATCAACTCTGAGAAAAAGCAAGAAAAAAATAAAATAAAGGTAAGTTTCCTTGACCATAAATTACAGTGAAGAAACTGTAGGAAAAAAATTTGTAAAAACTTGAAAGCACTACTTAAAAAAAAAAAAAAAAAACTCGCAATAAACAAAACATCTGCATAAGAGCACTGCCTAACAAGAAGTGAAGGTTAAGTAAAATTGAATAGAGGGAGTCACATGTGTCAGGAGGGTTGTTAAATGATGATTTACTTGCAAAAATGCACTGAAACATGTTGATCGTGGGGTAGGTGAGCGTCTCAAACTAGTGGCACGCAAACAAACTTTGCATTTAAAGGGTAGCACTGAACGAGAATAGCTATTATATGAGAGGAGGTACCATATTGGAATTAATTTTTGCTACCTTAGTCTTCAGTCATGATCATAATAAGCCTGGCAATAAAACTTTATCCCCAGGCCCATCTGATCATTAATCTGTCCCTGCTTGGAGGCATTTATGGAAAACTCAAATATCATCAAATCTGTCTGAAATCTTACTCAAGTCAATCATGTTCCAGACTGTAAAAATGTAACATTATATGCTTTAAACAACAGTGCTACACTTAAAAGGGTGTGGGCGCTGATGGTTACTCTCACTACAAAATGAGGAATGTTGTATCCTCAAGACATCACTTGACTTTCCAGTGGATAATATCACTGTTTATTTCTATACAGTATGCTCTACTTTAGATAACTAATGTGGGAAGAACTTAGTGGCTTTCTGACCACCATTCAATACTGAGACTGCATACACAATATGAAGAGAAATTCTGAAGACTTTTATATTAAATCAGACAGAAAGAAACCAATGGTATGTCTTGAAAACAAGATTAAATCACAGTCCCAAAAACATGGTCAACAAAGTGGAACATGTTCAAGTGATGCTAAATGCTCTAACAAAAAAAAAGCGGAGTCAATCATAATACATTTTACAAGCTATTGAACAACAACAACTCTACCACTAAACAAGCATTTAATAAATTCAAGGATCAGATACTCAATTACCTCTTGAAAGTAATTTACACGAGGTTTAGCAATGAATTTTCTCATTAGATACTCACCAACCCCAAAATCTTCAACTCCAAGAACAGGCCAATTGATTAGATAGATCTGGCTCATTATATGATTGCAGATCTTAGATTATTGGCCCTTTCCATTGTTGATCCTTTGAGTTAAGCAACATCAGTTTCAGCCTTGTTTAATGTGGGTAGCAGTGGCAAGAGATGGAAGCCAGAGTCAGCAGAAGACCTGACATGATAATTCTGCACCTTCTTCATTTTGTATAAGCATCTATACCAATAAGAGTACCTTCATGTGAAGAGTGGGGATTTTCTGTCCTCAAACAATTAAAAAAATAACTGAGGATGCTGATTCTCAACTAACACTAGATAAGAACTTATGAAAAAAAGTTATACATACAAGGCTCTTGGAGTATTTGATTCAACATCAGCAATCAATTGGCATTAGGTATTATTCAGGTGCCATGAAAGAAGACTACACACTCTGGCTAGTGGCCAACACTAATAACTTCTTCATCAATATTTTGAGATAGAGGGGGGAAGGTCTCTACCAAAAACAAATATTCAATGTCAAAGAAATAAAGAAAATTGTAAAACATAGCTACCTAGCTATATTAATTTTCACCTAACGGACATTTATATGGTAGGTAAAATTTGTTACTACCTCTAATAAAGTATTTCTAACCCTGGACCTAAACAGGTATTAAGTAAAACAAATTAACTGTTCAGTTTCCAATTCGTCAAAACACCAAAAATATAATGCATCTGTTTATCAGCTATGTTGCAAAATTATTTGCTTTAGGTAAAACTTTGATATAAGTACTGATTTTGCAATCATATTTAAATGCTATTTTTTAAAATAATAATTATTATGAATTCTTTAGAACAGTGGTTCCCAAATTGGGGTCTGAAAGACAGTCTTAAAGAGGACCTCAGCACATGTAGATATTCTCTCTAAAATTTGCCTAACACTGGAATAATCAATATTTTAAGTAATATTTTTATTTATTACAATAAATATGACTACACAATGTTGCTTATGCTTGAGGTTGTTTTTTTAAAGAACAAATTGAAATGAAAGACAAAGTCAGGTGCACTTCAGAGTGGCTATTATTTAAAATTTCTATTAAATCATTAGATGGAGAGCCTTAGCCAGGATGTCTAAAATCTTTAGGTGCTTCAGACTAAAATAATTGGAATCCCTTCACTTGAAAAGAGAAACTTTGGGAAGGATGAAGATTTTAAATTAGTGCTTGATATCATATTACTTACTTTAGAAACTGAAATTGACAAAGGTTTTAAAAACGATTCATTTAAATCCATACAGTAAGTTTAAAAAGTAGTCTTGTTATGAGTACAATTGAAAAATAAAGAGCAATACTTTGGAAAGAAGAGGCCATTCCATCTTACAAAGGCTTTCTAACAAGTGGTGTTCCTTGATATCTGTGATGATGCGGCTCTGAGAAGAGTGGAGAGCAATGTACATCTGAAATAATATCTTACTAATAGTACAAGGCATTGCTGCCATCATCTCACTAACATCACTAGAAGTAAGAGGAATGCCCAGGTTCTGTAATGTTGGCTGTAGTCGTTGGAAGTTTTCAATGGCACTATTTACAAGAAAAAAAATTACGTCAAAACTGCATAAATTTTAAAAAAAGGATAATCTAGTAAAATACTTCAATTTTTGATTCTGATTTTACAAAAGAAAATTTCTTAAATTTCTGAAAATCTAACTGAAATTTCAATAACGTCTTTTACCCATAAAGTTTACTCAGTTTCCTAAAGTTTAGAAGTGCTAAATTAAAAATGATAAGTTCAGATTACTTACCTAAAAAAGAAAAGATGTGACAACATTTCATTCATATTTCTTCACACTAAAAACTAAATTAGCATATTTCCCAACTCATTAAATATATATATATTCCAAATCACAAACTTCTGTCCTCTCATCCTATTGCCTTCAGAATACAGCATAAAAAACTCAAGTCCTTTATCCTATCCATCCCTCAGATAATTTTGTAAGCTTCCATATAGGTCATCCCTTAATCACCTTTTCTCAAGCTAAAATAAGTTAAAAGATCTTTATTCCTATCTCTGTTCCTATAAGATAACCCTTCCATCCCCAATATATTTTAGTAACCCACCTCTGAACCCTTTCTGATAAGTCAATACACTTTCTTAGACCTTCGACTTTCGAGAGGCCTAACTAGTGATTGTACAAAGAGGTAATTACCTCTTTTGACTTGTAATTACATACATCTATAAATAAATGTGAAAATTGTATCAGCTTTAATACTTGCAATACAGCATTGCCTCAAAAGTTTGAGTGACTTATCTTTTTATTCATGCATGGATGCACTATATAATGGGTTCCCATCTATATCAAAATATGTAACCCAGTTGCACAACTAGAATTAAATGTCATGAGCCAACTATTTGTCTAACTTACAACTTGATTCAATTCCTTCTGTTTCATTTCAGAATCATCAATACAATTAGAAATACAAAAAGTTTAATGTCATAAGCAAACTTTAATACTTTACTGATTATGCCCCGATCAACATCACTAATACATATAAGAAAAAGTAAAGGCCTGAGCAATGACCTCTGGGGAACAACATTAATAATAAAAGTCCATTTTGACTAGACTCTATTAATAAAAACATTTTGTTTTCTCTCACCCAGCCACCCTGGAATCCAATTAACTAGTTTCTCTCTAAATCCCACTGATATGACTTTCTTAGCTAATCTTCTGTGTGCTACTGTATCAAAAGCTTTTTGAAAGCTAAGTACACCAATCTCACACCCTTTGCAACAAGTAATATCCTAAAAAAAGTTAAAGGAGTAGTCATGCAAGATTTTCTTTTAGTTTTAGTAAATAATCCATGTTCACTTTCTTTTATGATATATTTTTTTATCAGCCTCTAGAATCTTTTCCACTACAAAAGTGAGATGAACTGGCCCCTTAAAAGGTGTAAATCAGCAACTCTTCAATCCCCTTAGGCACCTTTCCACTATCTACTCGCCTACCACCAATGAAAGAGACAAGCTAACAAATCTGATCTTCTGTTAGAATTTAAGTACCAATCTCTATTACCAGTGGCAGATCCAGGATTTTGAAAATGGGGAGGCACAATGATTCTGAACGTAAATGAGAAAGTTTCGGGACTTCCCTGGTAGGGGATAAATGGGTTATTTAGATTTGTTATGATGTTTGCTAGATGTTTTTGCTATTGCTTTTTTATTTTTTTTTAATTTAATATGAAATTTCAATCAATTCTGCCCTCCTCAAAGACCCAATTTTTGCAATTATTTGGATTTTATCTTCAAAATGGAGAATGGGGAGCATGTGCCAGGCCTGTATCCACCCTTGATTACATTTGAACATTTGACAAAATATATATTACAAGATTGAGCCATTTCATGACCATCCCATGCAACTTGTATTACTGTGAACAATGGTGCAAACTTAATGCCTGTGCTTATGCCTATGTCATGTTTAAACACTAAATACTTAAGATTTGAGAATTATATTCAAATTAATATGTACTTCTTATTTAATTAAAAACATTAAATAAGTCTTATTGCAATATCAACTTCTTCAGGCACCTAACAAAACTGATCAGGCAGATGTTAGCAAAAAAAAACAACAAAAAACATAAAAGAGTCAATCTGAAAATTATAACTTTTATACTCATTTACTATATTCAGTCATTATAGATGCAAAATAATATGTGTTATGTGCTGACTTAACATAAATACTCTCAACTTCATGTACCTGCCATGCGAGAAGTTTCTGAAGTCATCTTGTAAGTTGTAGCAATACAGAATTTCTCCCATTAGATATCCATCTGTAAAATCTTGGACAAATGTGCTGGGTTCTGCATAATAAACACAAATAAAGTGTTAACATAAGAGAAAAAGTAATACATACAAGCTTAGAGTATACCATTATCATCAACTGGAAAAAAAATCAATAAGCACTGCTTTACATTTCAAAAGAAACACTGAGTTTTGCATATGGAAATAAAACAAATTTCTAAGAAACTATAGGAATGTGTTCTCAGTGTGTTCAAAACCATTAAGCATTATAAGATACACTATTTTACAAGTTATCAAAAAATTATTGGAATAAATTATTCCAAAGAGAATTTATAAGGTTTTTATTACAAGAAACATGTCACCACATAGCCTACTAAGCTGTGTTTCTCCACATATCTACCTACATTTATTACCCTCAGTACTTTCTGCCAGTGTTTCACCAATTTACTCTTTTACAAAGGCTATGTTTTGCACCAGTAGCTCTTTATAAGTTCATTGTTTATAATGATAGAAAAATAATTTGTTATGATGGTGAAATATGGCTTTATTTTTATGTACAATATATGACTAATGGATGCATACCTGAGATATATGAGTTATTTATAGTATAAAATGTTGAGTTCAGGCTCAAACTTTTGTCTCAGAGCCATGTTTCACACAACAAAAGCAGGGCTAGATTATCTTTCATGGGAGTACAAGAGATCTAAGTTTTTTGGAGCCCCTCTTCAATTTCCTTCACTGACCCCCCCTAGTTCAACACTGATTCAGTATATATGAGAATTTTTTACATTATATATAGCAACATGTTCATAATAATTAAAATACAATGTTTTATTAATTTGGAATACAACTTTACACAAGGCAATTTACAGTTTTCAAAAGTAATGACCCACATATACAAAATTACAGCGTAACAAGCAGTGGTCCTCACCCTCCCAATACACACATACACACACACACACACCGGGAAGAGCATAATAACACGACAAAGTGGAAATAGAAATATAACATTCCAAAACGTTTGAAATATATCAATAACAATTACAATGTAAACATGTATGTACGGCTTTAAATAAGCATCTCAACAACACACTCGCTGCTAACGCGCTGCCAGCAACAAAAACTGAAAATGTCGTTTCTGCTTTTTTCCTTTTTTTTTGATCAAATTTACTCACCAACTGTAGTTTTGGTTTTAGCGGGTCGTTTGTTTTTGTTGCATAATCCCTTGGACTAAATAAATTATTAAGGTTTCACAATAAACCAAACAGAAATAGGCAACATGATTTCTTATAAGAACTAAACATTTTGAATATTATATTAGGTCGTCAAGAAATTAATGTCGCGTTTTGGAACACTTTAAGTAACCACCCCCTAAAAACCATACATCACGTATAATAGTTAAACGAACCGCCTAAACGTCACGTTAGTGTAGCCTATATAATGTGTAATGTTTAGGATACTCTGATCCCTTATTAGTCATGGCTCACGATGATACATACATTCGGTATGTAATGCTGTTTGAATACAAGAAGAGGAACAACGCCTCTGTTGCTACAAAGAATATCAAACACGTTTATGGAAATGTTTTGAACGGTCGTAAGTGTCAACAATGGTTCAGCAAATTTTTTTCAGGTGACTTTAACCTTAAAAACTGTGATGGCAGGGGCCGACATGTTGGAATTATTGATACTCTGAAGACGCTTGTTGAGTCTAACCCAAGGTAACACACTCGTGAAATTACATGTCTCTCATGAAATAATACGTAAACATCTAATGAATATGAGAAAACTCCATAAAGAAGGTGTTTGGGTGCCTCACGAACTCCCCGATTATCATAGTTTCCAACGTGTGAACGTTGCTTCGTCTCTTCTGGTGCGTAATGCGTGTGAAACATTTTTAGAGAGAATGGATTCTCTATTCGAATATCAAACGCCAAAAACAATTGCTCAGTCGTAAACGAAAACCACTTCCAACCCCAAAACCTAGACTCCATCCACAGAAAGTGGTGCTTTGCATTTGGTGGGACATCAAAGGAATAATTCATTTCGAATTCCTCAATCCACAGCGAACTGTCAATGCAGAGATCTATAGTTTAAATCAAGCCCTTCATCAGAAACTCCCTTCATTCGTCAATCGGAAAGGTGTTCTTCTCCACGACAATGCACGTTCACATGTTGCACGTTAAATGCAACACAAGATTGTGGGATTGGATTGGGAAGTTCTCCCACCATATTATCCAGATATGGCACCATCGTTTTTGTTCGCTGCAACACCATCTTTATATGTCACCGTATGAAAATATGGAAGGTGTTAAAGAGGACATCGACATATTTTTTGCTTCAATACGAAGTGATTTCTTTAATCAGGGCATTAACAACCTGATTGTAAGATGGAAAAGCATCATCGATAAGAATGGAGACTATTTCATTTAATAAATGTTTTGTTTTGATATTCTATGTTGTTCGGGTTTTTCATTTAAAAAAGCGACATTACATTTTAACGACCTAATACTTGTATATCTAATTGTATAATAATTATAAATGAGTAACACGGCTTTTAAAATGCAGTTGTCAGTCGCATTTTAAAAAATAGTTTATTTTGTCAGGCAGTCACTGCTTTAAAAAGAGACGCTGGTAAAAACTAAAACAGCCAATCTCTATCCTGATTCTTAATGTCACACGTCGTTATTATTATTATTGTATAATATATTACAGTACATATATTTGTTCGCACCCCACCTAAATCTGGAGCTTTGGGTTCCAGGCTCGGAAGTAACTGCGTTAATTCGCCCTCAATTAAAGACAAGTAGTAATTTTAAACACGAATGGGGTTCAGACTTCGCGTTTACACTGCCTACTGCGATTTGTAAACAGATTTTCCATTGAAAACGCGGAACTGAATACTGCCTGTCAGTATATACAACAAAAACGGAACTAATACCTTTGTCTTTATCGGTGTTTGATCGTAGTTTACTTGGACATATTCCTCCCAATTAATACTTAGTCTTCTTCTTCATCGGGATTCGGTCCATGTTTTGGACCAGGAAAGGTCAGATTCAGAGTTGACCTCTTCCTTCCTCTCGGGAATTGTTATTTTGTTTGCACTTCTACTGAATCCGAGGTAATAACCCTTGTTACATTGTTGCATTACTCACAGTATGTTAAATTTTGTCCATTTTCCGCAGTTTTAATTACATAAAAGGGTATTTACGTGCTATGGTACCTAGTTAAATAGAAACTGCGTGGAGTCGCTATCAAAAAATTCGGAATACATAATTTTTAATAGATGGGGCTTTTAGTTGTCACTAACCTTGTAGATAGACCTCAGTTTGGTTTAAATTTCGCGCAAAGCTACACGAGGGTTATCTGCGCTAGACGTCCCTAATTTAGCAGTGAAAGACTATAGGGAAGGCAGCTAATCATCACCACCCACTGCCAACTCTTGAGCTACTCTTTTACCAACGAATAGTGGGATTGACTGGTATCTATAATGCCTTAATGGCTGAAAGGGCGAGCATGTTCGGTGACGGGGATTCGAACCCTCGATCAGCAGACTGCAAGTCGAGTGCCCTAATTACTTGGTCATGTAAAAGTATGTTATATATTTAAAAATTATAATTATTGGTCTACTGTTATAATTAAAAGACTATATTGCTAGCACTACGGGTACAGAGATTTAACAACAATGTAATAAAAATGCGAAGTACGTAAAAATTTTAATTAATGTTAAGCACAAAGTATTGACTCAATTACACCAATATTTTTACTACTCATTTTACTGGTATAAAATAATTTAATAGCAAACATAAACACTTAATTGTGTAAGGATAAAAAATAGCGAGAAATAGTAAGTGTGAAATCTTACCGATTAATTTAGATAGTCCAAGGTCTTGATTTAACCACCGAAGAAGAACTTCAAACATTTTCGCTGTAAAATAGTTTACTGTTATTATTATTAAAATACTATATGTAGGTTTGAAATATCAATTTATATAGAGCTAATCCCTTTATATTAATAGTTTAAATATGCTTATACACTGGCGCAATTGCCACCGATGGCACCATGGACGATGTTTTTAGAAAATACGTATTTGGTTCACTGTATATTTTCAACCATTCAACAGTGCAATGTTATCATGGGTCAGCTATGGATGATGAGATGTTATCACGGACTTCTCCGAAGAGAAATATTTATAAACCAAGATTATTAAATTAGTTAGAGTTGAGTTAACAACATTTCGAAAAAATGAGTCTATTGTTATTTCTGGAAGTATAAAACTCATACAGCATACTTTTTTGGAAAATGAGTGGCTGTAAAACCCAATCACAAGCCTTTATACCAAAGAAAAGGCTGAGTTATACATTATAACTATAAAGTTATACTATATAACTATGAAACAACACAGCTGGACAAAAACGGAATATCTAGTGTGTAATCGACAACAAGCCCAAATAAATATGTGCCAAGGGTAAAGTCTTGAGGCACACTGCAGCATGTCAGCTGTTGTCTAAACAGGCAAAAAACGCCTTGTCTAGGATATTGTGAGTCACAAGAGCGATCCTCCCTTTCAAAAAATAAAATCCAGAAAAAGCACCTTGAATAAGTAGTTTGATGAAAAATTGCCAGGTAATTCAGAATCAGCAGATAGTACATAGTTCGTCCACATATGTAGCAAGCGTAGCATGGGACATAGTGATAGTTAGTCATAGTAAGGTGCCTGATAATCTGATGTAAGTATATGTGGCTAGAGCTAAAGGATTGTAAGTGTATAAGAATAGACCAAGTGTGGTCCACCCGAGCAGAAAACATCCAGGGGAAGGGCCTTGCATGAGTCTGTAAAACCAATAAGAATGGTCCATCTGTGCAAAATAGATCAAGGGGAAGCACATTGCCATACGTCAGATTATACCAAGTGCAGTCCATCTGGGCAGAAAACACAAAGTGGAAGCACCTTGAATAAGATACAGAGATCAACAAGTGTGGTCCACTCAGGGAAAACCCAGAGGGGGAGTGCCTTGTGTACATAAGATTAGGCTAAGTGTGGTCCGCCTAAGCACAAAAATACAGGGGAAGTGCCTTGGGATACTGTTGAGTATGTTAATTGCAGTCCATCCAGGCATAAGAAATTTATTTTGTGATCAACAAGTACAGTCAGCCTGAGAGCAAAACCATCAAGGGGAAGCACCTTGCATAATAAATAAGTACCTTTCTTCTCACTGAGTGCATACGTATGAGCTAAGAAGTTAGATTTAGTTTACTGTACAAACCCCACTCAGGAGGAAACCTCCATGGTCCACCACTCCAGTGACTGGGAACCAGAAGTGGCAAGGTCTCCTGTACTCCACTAGAAGAAAAGGGGGATATGCACTGGGGAGTCTAGAGGAATGACACATAGGAGACAGTGCAATGGGTGTCTGCAATTCCCTATGTTAATAAGCAGAAAGACCCAAATTGTAAGAATCACAGGTCAGTAGGGATGGGCAAAAATACCCATCTGCTTTTTTCATGAAGTCCATGAGTGATGGTCCTTTATATATAATACACTGGTAATAAAAAATATATATAGATATATACACACCACTGGATAAGCGGCTGGTGATTTTACAGAAATACCCCATATCCACAGTAAGCATGATAGAAGTGTACAGGTAACACTTGCAACTAGGTGAGATCCTGAAATATGATGTATGTCAACTGAATACGATTCAGCTTACTCCAATCAAAAGCAATTAGCCAGATCTTGAAGATAATATGTGACGAACGTATTGGGAATTGTCCACATACCAGCTTGAATGATCTTCTCCAAAGGTCGGCGGATCCGAGAAGCTAAAGACATAATTCAAAGACATATTTAGTGAAATGAAACATTGTGCAGCCATTGACCTTCCATGGACAAGTCAGAATAAGCCATTCGTATGAGTTGATGAACTCAACCAGTAAGGGTAATAGGTGATAGATCTCGGGAAACAGAAGGATTCCATGGAATAAATAGGAGGGACACATAATGATGCAGGGAACAAACGGGACAGAAAAAGATCTGGATCCAAACGTGAATACAGGTGGGAAATAGAAAATAAGGAGATAGGAGAAAAGTTGAAACAACCTTCCCTGGCAGCAGATGTCTTAGGAAGGAAGACCCGATCCAGATAAAGGATAACATAAGAGTAATGGTAAAGAGTGGGGACACAGTAACAGTATAAATATCGGAACGTCGACGACTGCAAGCCAGGAAGATAAAGAAATATGTCTTAAGTGAAAGATGGTACAAGGAACACATGGCAATGGGTTCAAAAGAAGAATCAGACAGGACATGAAGAACCACATTAAGATCCCAATCTGGAAGCACTAAATGACGTGGAGGACAAACTAGATGAAAAGAACAGAAAAGAAGGGGAATAATTAGGGATGCAGAGGCTTTACAGAAACATGAGAAATGGAAGGTGTTCGACAGGGCAGTTCTATAACTTGCAACAGTTGACACGGACAAACCTGATCAAATAATCAGGTAAAAGACTGGGAAAATAAGGAACAGAAGAACGGGAAGGATAGACGCCACAGCAAATGGACCACTATCTGAAGGTAGGCCAAAGTCTCTGGTGCACAAATAAAGAAGAAGGCCAAATTATACAGGCAAACAAGGATGCTACACGAATGGTGAGTCCCTGAGCTGAGGTGAGGGACCAGACAAAAGCCGTGAGTGAAGATGGAGTTTAGTGATATTAATAGGAAACACATCCGATCATGGTTGTTGGAGGAGTGACCTAGTCAAAGGTAAAGGCAGAGACTGTTGCTCTAGTAAAGGCCAGAGCAGAGCAAACCACGTCTGAGTCAGCCAATATGGGGCAACTAGGTGTGTGGAACAGACCAAAGGAAAGGAAGTTTGGTATTCCAGTGAGTGGCAAATGCAACTATATATGGTGTTCCTAGGCGAGAACACACCCACGAAATACCTGAGGATGAAAGGACCACTTTGTAAGGAGAACTTGGTCGGGACAAGACAAACAGCTGGCCATCTGACATACTAAGATTGTTATGTTGAAGTCGTGGGCCCAGTAAAGGAGTTCGAGTGTCTAAAACACAGAGACCTGGATTTGGTTTCCTCTTGTTTGGTGATATAGCTGACGACACTGGAATTGTCAGCTTAAACCATAACAACTTTCGAAAACAAAATGAAATGAAATTTTGAAAGCGAACACGAACGTCGAAACGTTAAGTTTAAAACTGGTGAAAGACTGATAAGCAATCACAAATAAAATAGCAGGAGTCGCATGGAGAGGGAATTATACACACGTCAATACACTCTAATACCAATCAAGAAAATTAGGATTGTGCTAGAATAATAGAGAGAGCTTCCTGCTCTAGTATAGATGGCAGAGTATGATTGGTGGGGTAGTGACATGATTAGCACATGTTTTGAAATGGCACAAAAGTGAAGGGGTATAAAAGACTGGTGCACTGTTAGCGATGAAAATGTTAGCAATGTTTAGAGGGCAAAGCAAGGTCGAGCAAGTACTGTTTACTGAGTTTGAACTAATAATCCTCGGATTTTTAGTATAGGCACCCTAACTATTAGAAAACACCTGGTTCATCTATAATTGTGAGTGATGTTCCTAGTTAAGCCTAAAGGCTTAAAACCGAAATGTTGCAACAATTCAGTATATACATATACACTGAGTGGTATAGACACCTAATATTTCGTCATTTAACTAATTTATGCTAACTAATTTGTGTTCACAGAGCACTATATAAATGAAAATGGTCTGCACACTAATTATATTGTGCTACAACATGCCTAGAACTCAAGGTTCTCTCGAATTGTCCGATTTTGTTAGAGGAAAGATAGTTGGTCAAGCAGATGGTGGAATAAGTCAGCGGCAAATTTCGTAGAATTTGGGAATCCCGCTTTCAACAGTCAACAGAATCATTGTGCAGTTCAGGAAACACAGCAAGGAAACAACTGAGCAGCGTCCGGGTCCATCAAAGAGGACAAAAAGGCTGTCAAGAGGAGCATCGAAATGGATCCCAGATTAAAGACTGCAGAAGCAGCTAAGTTGCTGGGATGAGCCCGATATCTGTTCAACGGATTCTCCACAGATTGGGTTATCGTTGAGAGCAGCTAGACAGAAGCCCTTATTAAGACCT